AGTTTCGCTGGCCTGTTGGACACACAACTGCTATGCTTAGATTTTAACAGGTGTCGGCGGTAGGATAGAATGCTGCGCGCGGAAAAAAACGTATGCAGGCAGACTTTTGAAAGTTCATAAACTGTCTGATTCAATCGGGTAGAAAACCCTCCATCCGTGTTCCATATGTTTCGTTGTCACTAGAGCTGATCAATATGACTACCAGTCTCCTATTCTGTCTGTCGCACACAGCTTAAAGGTTTAGCGGCTGTAACCCATCTCCATTGGTGGCCCAATGACGGTGTCCTCCAGCTCCGGGCGGGAGAACTGATTGAAGGTGAACGCGTGCAAGTAAGGGTCGTAAGAAGAGAAACAGGCTGCATCTTGCCAGCGCTTCCTGCCCGGCGCACACAGGCGCGGACCTTGAAAAGATCGACAACGGGATGTATGTCGTGTTATTCAGCAGAAGCAAACTTTATGCGTGATAGTTCTTTCTAAATGTATAAATTTATAATTATGAACTATGCAGCGTTACCCCACGTTATGGATTGTAATCGCATTAAAAGATAATTTCGACATCTGCAGAATTATTTGATATACTACACGAGATGACGGACCGGAGGCTGTGCCGCGCTGCTGCAGTTATATAATAAGGAAAAAATCGGGTTGAATTGAAATCAGTACATAGATGAATCGCTCGCGGTAGCGTGTACACTTATATACTACACTATAAATCACTACAATAAACACTCATCCCTGCAACAAAACCCTTCTGTAGCCAGAAACATCAATAACGCCTAGGACTGTACTAAACACTTCACCATCATCTAACCATCACACTATGACTGTAACTAAAATTCCGCTCCTATACTAGAACCCAACCCATACCTTAAACACCACACCGAACTAAATACTCTCACACTTCGTACTATATCTCATCCACTCGTTATCTCAATCTCTCAACCCCGTACTAATGCTCTCACCCATTACTAATCTCATATCACTACTAAACTCACTCCATGACTAAACCACACACATGTGCGAAACTACATCTGTACTAAACTCATCCGTAACTGAAACTCAGCCCATACTAAATCCACCCGTACTAAACTCATCCGTACTAACTCACCTGTAAAGCTAAACTCAATCCGTACTAAACTCACAGCTTACTAAACTCACTAACCGTACTAAACTCCACCTGTAGGTAATCTCTCAACGCGAACTAATCTCCCTCACAGACCGTCAACAAGACTTTCACCCGTATAAAGCTCACCCGTACTGAAAACTCAAGCCCATACTAAATTCCACCTACTAAAACTCACCCGTACTAATTCCTTAACCCGAACTAACCGCACGCGGACTAATCTCTCATACCGTACTAATTCTTTACCATACTAAAACTCACCCACGTACCTAGAACCCCATCTTCATACTAAACTCAATCCATACTAGAACTGCACCCAGTACTAGAAACACACCTCGTACTAATCTCACGCCGTACTAAACTCACGCGCAGTACTAAACTCAATCCGTACTAAATTGCTCGTCAACCGTACTAATTATCTCAACCCGTACTAATTTCTCCACCCAGTACTTAATCTCATCTCGTACTAAACTCACACCATAATAAACTCGCACCGTACTAAACGCATACCGTACTATAACTCACCCCGTACTTAATCTCATCGTACTAACTCACACATAACTAAACTCACCTCGTACTAAACTCATCCGTACTAAACTCACTTGTAGCTAAAACTCACACCTACTAAAAACTCACCCTTACTAAACTCACTACTGACTAACTCGCCCTCCTTTTACTCCTTAAACTGCTCGTCGCACATGAAACACCTATGCAGTAGCTAAAGCATTCACTTACCACTGAGACCACATCCGTCCTCTGTGTAACGCATTCAGCAATTGCTCACCTGTTAACTACTCAGCTCCACTGGTACTAACCACTCACCTGCACAATCGCTCACAATGCTAGCTAACCGACCTCAACCTGTACTAGCCACTGCACGAACTGTACATAACCATTTCACCCTGTACTAAGCACTCACCTGTACTAACACATCACCTGTAATAACGGACACTCACACTGTAACTAATCCCTCAGCATGTACCGAACCACTCACAAAATAATAAGCTCATCACCTGTACTAACTCACAATCACTCTGCACTAAGACTCACCTGTACTAACCACTCCAGTGTACTTAACCACAGATCAACGCGTGTACTTAAAGCGCTAATATACTAAACACTCACACTGTACTAACCGTTTACAATATACTAAGCCACTCAACTGTACTAAGCACGATCACAGCTGTACTAAACCAATTCCACTGTATCTAAACCACTCACCACTTGTACTACACCCACTTCACCTGTTACTAAGCACATACACCTGATCCTAACACGCTTGCATCTAATAAGATCACTTTCACACTGTAACTAACGCGCGTTTCACATATACTATACAATCACCTGTAACAAAGCTGCTCAAGCCTGTACTAACAACTCCAACTGTATCTAACCACGATCACTTAACTTACTAAAGAACTCCACTGTACTAACAGACACTTCACCTGTACATGGTTAGTACAGGTGAGTGGTTTGTACAGGTGAGTGATGTCTGTACAGGTGAGTGGTTAGTACAGGTGAGTGCTTAGTATATGTAAGCGGTTAGTACAGGTGAGTGCTTAGTACAGGTGAGTGGTTAGTACAGTGGAGTGGTTAGTACAGGTGAGTTCTTAGTACAGGTGAGTGGTAGTACAGTGGAGTGGTTAGTACAGGTGAGAGCTTAGTACAGGTGAGTGCTTAGTATATGTGAACGCGTAGTACAGGTGAGCAATTACTGAATGCTTAACACAGACGAGTGGTTAGTGGTAGTGAATGCTTAGTACGGCAAGGTGTTTAGTGCGATGAGCAGTAAGGAGTAAGGAGGAGAGTTAGTACAGGAGAGTTAGTACAGGAGAGTTAGTACAGGTGAGTTTAGTACGGGTAAGTTTAGTACGGATGAGTTTAGTACGGGCGAGTTTAGTATGGATGAGTTTAGTACAGATCAGATTAGTACGGGTGAGAAATATGTTCGATTGAGAAATTAGTACGGGTGATAGATTAGTACGGTTGAGAGATTAGTACGGGTGAGTTTAGTACAGGTGAGTTTAGTACGGATGAGTTTAGTACGGGTGAGTTTAGTATGGGTGAGTTTAGTACGGATGAGTTTAGTAAGTATGAGTTTAGTTTAGAGTTTAGTATGAGTGGGTTTAGTACGGGCGAGTCTAGTACGGGTAAAAGATTAGTACGGGTGAGAGATTAGTACGGGTGCGATATTAGTACGGGTGCGAGATCAGTTCGGTTAAGAGATTAGTACGGGTGAGTTTAGTACGGGTGAAAGCTTAGTACGGGTGAGTTTAGTATGGGTGAGTTTAGTATGAGATTAGTACGGGTGAGAGATTAGTACGAGTGAGAGATTAGTACGGGTGAGAGATTAGTTCGGGTGAGTGTTAGGTCTGGGTTGGGTTCTAGTATAGGAGCGGAATTTAGTACAGTCAAGTGATTGGTAGAGGTGAGTGTTTAGTACAGCTAGGTGTTTGCGGTTCTGGTACAGAAGTGTTTGCTGCGGGATGAGTGTTTATTACAGGTGAGTGATTGGTACAGGTAAGTGTTGAGTACGGGGCGGTATATAAGTGTACACGTACGCGAGCGATTCACTCATGTACTGATTTCAATTGCAACCGATTTTTCCTATTTATAACTGCAGCAGTGCGAGCACAGCCTCCGGTCCGTCCATGTGAGTAATATCAAATAATTCTGCAGCGAAATTATCTTTAATGCGATTACAATCCAACGTGGGAGTACACGCTGCATATTCAAATTATAATTTCATACATTAGAAATACAGATACGCATAAATGCTTCTGCTGAATAACACGACATCATCCTTGTCGACTTTTCAAGGTCCGCGCGTGTGCGCCGGGGAAGCGCTGGCAAAGATGCAGCTGTTTCTCTTCTTCACGACCCTACTTCAACGCTTCACCTTCACGTCTCCGCCCGGACTGGAGGCACCGTCATTGGAGCCACAATGGGGAATCGTGTACAGCGCTAAACCCTTTAAGCTGTGTGCGACAGAAAGGGACTGGTGTCATTGATCAGCTCAGTGACACGACAACATATGAACACGATGGAGGGGTTTACTACCCGTTGATCGACGATGAACTTTCAAAAGTCTGCTGCAACGGTTTTCCGCGTCGCAAGCATCTTTCCCTCCCGGCCGACACCAATGTAAATCCAGAGGAGAGACCGGATACTAGAGAGGCGATGCGCAAAGGAAGCAGATCCTGACCGCCGAGCGCGGATGTTGCGCGCAGTTCC